TGAAAAGTTGTATTGGTGTTTGATCAATCGTGACTTTCGCTATCCACATCCACAGCACCTTCATATGTCAAATAATAAAACAACACATTTAGCATGAACATAGACTATAGTTAATATGTAAACACAACACAAAATTAACCTGAGAATAATTTAAAACTTTCTGACCATTGGGCAAAACTGGAGAAACATAATTTTTTAGTAACTAAATATTTATAGTACCAAGTAAGAAATCTCTACCATGTCCCAAAGAGCAGAGGAGAGCATAATATTAATACCTGCCAACAAAAACAAACTAAAAACTCTCAGGTAAGAAATTGACCACAAACTATTAAAAAAAATTCAACCATCACAGCTTTTTCTTTGAATAACTGGCCAGAATTCGATCAGCTTCCTTCTTAGTTTTTCCACTAGAAATACTTCGTGACACTTTGTTTACATAACGCATTGCACGAATTCGAGCCCTTCCATGGTTAATTTTTCGTCCAGCCTCTTTGTGTTTTCTACCAGCCATTCTTTGAGCATTATGCGCAGCAATCCTAGCCAATCTTAGTTCCTCCTTTTCGACGAAATCATAACGTTCAGCAGCAGCAGCAGCACGCTCTCTTGCCTCTGCCTCTGCTCTTGCCTTAAGATCGAGATCTGATATCGTAATCTTTCGAGTACTATCAAATAACTTCCTATTTTTTTCATCCTTGAGAATATCGTAAGAAGTCTTGAGCTTTCGAAAATTCTCATGAGCATTCGGATCATCCGGCCTCTTGTCTGGATGCAATTCTAATGCTTTTTTTCGATAGGCTTTCGATATTTCCTTCTGAGAAAGCTTGGCACCTTGTTCACCGGATGGTAAATCCAATACAACATAATGATCAACTTCAGTAATATCCATGTTTTTATGAAGAACCCTAAAATATGTATCTAAACTTAATTTCTATGTGATTAAACAGAGCAACGTACCCTATTTATAGACTTGAATCCTAATGTTGTATGGTTAATTAAGAGAATTTTTGTCAAATTTATTGAAATTAGAATCCTGAAGTAGTTAGGTTAGGGAACTAATTAGACTTTAATGTATTGATTTTTCTGTCTTCCTTGCTTAGCAAGCAATTACGTAACAGAGTTTAAGTAGGACAAATATCAAATTGGATTAGTAAAGCCAATCCCATCTAAAAAGGAAATATTGATATTTTTAATTTGGATCTCTTAATTAAGAAGTTGGGAATTCTAAAAAGTAATTTTTAATGATGTAAAATTTTATGTATTAAAATAAGGATATTTAGGGAAGAATGAGATCAATATTTTTTCTTTAAGATACTAAAACATCACTTATTTTGAAACAAAATGATAAAAACCTAAATATTGAGTTCTCAGTTAAATTTATTATTATTATTTTCTTGTTCTTTAATTTGTTTTTGTTTTTGTTTTGCTTGTTATTCTTCATTAATCGAATTATTAATATGGTATTTGTCTTAAATATGAATATTTTAGATATATTACGGAATATGGGGTATACTTAAATAATTAAATTTATATTTTCTATAATTGATTATATCATCTAATTTTAGCAGTTCCATAAAAAGAATTTATCTCTCGTAATTTTTCACTAATTGAATGGGAAAAGGCATAGTTCCTCCTAAATTGTATCGAAAAGTCAGTTACACGCTTAAACTATCATAACGACTTGTTACACACCTCTGCTATTTAAAAGTAAATTTATTTACCCCTAAAGCTGACATGACAAGATAATAATAACTTTTAAAAAATCATGCGCGTCAGATAATTATTAAAGTAAAAATAAAAATAAAACTCAAAATATTTCTTAAGCCCCACCCCCACATCTCTTCTTCTTCACACCGCACCCTCCTCATCTTCTTCACACCCCATTAAGCTTAAAATAAACCAATAACAAGAAACAACCAAGAAATAAATTACTTCAAAAAGGAGTAAAATTTTGGGAGGTTTCTATCGGTGGGGCTTCGACGGACGTTTTTGAGTATTGAGTGATCGATTGAAAATGGGAAGAAAATTATTGTTCTATTATCTCTATTTTTTAAGAAATCTCTAGGAAGAACATGGAAAAATAACAAAGAATATATATATGTCCAAATCTGAAAAATATTTACAACTACAAGCCGCAACAAATAACAATGAAAGTTTAGTTTCAATGACCAATCAATGGAAGAAACTGAAGCAACCTTCTTGTGAGTACATTTTAAAATGGAAGAATTCTTCCACTCCACGAATCAACCCCAGATTGCGGGCAATTTCCTTGGTGGTCATTGCTAAAAGTTTCTTTCTTTACTTACTTAGGTATATGTTAGACTCCTGATCTAAGTCACTCAATTAAATGGCAGCATGGACAAGGTATTAAGCATGCTAACCTTGTCCCTTGCATAAGCCAAGGAAACAAACATGCAAGGCTAAGTTGACAACGGATTGTTGACGAAGCTAAGGTGTGCGCAATGGCACCATGGCCTGATTTCGAAGCAACAAGTGAGGACCAAGGACTTGAAGACAAGGCAGTTTGGTGAGGACTTGACAAGATGAAAGCTTAACAATGTTGTGTGGGCATAGCATTGATATTCAAAGAAAGAACAAGGGCAAACGACCAGCAAGACTAAGGCATCAATGAAAGGGCTTTGATGCCAACACAGGATGAAGCAATGCCATAGATTTGTGACCTTGGTGTGGCAGCATTGAGTGGGAACAATGAAAGGCTGAAAAGGCTAAGTATGGCAGTGTTAAACATGGGAAGAGCTCGTCCAAAAGGCAAGCAAAGTCAAAGCTGACCGGCGGTTACAAAACACATACCAAACACATGACCGGCGGTTACAAAACACATACCAAACACATGACCGGCCGTTACTAAAAAGTGCAGCATTATCCCATTTCGTGTAGAGCTTGGGTTTGGCGCCTTGTTTGAATTATTTTGAATATACCAAGTAGTTGTGGGTTGTCAACTACATAGGAAAGGATCAGGCTAAGGCCAACAAGTGTTTTATTTTAATTACGCCACTTGTCGGTAGTTGACTGCACATAGTATTATAAATGTGCAGGCTGCCTATGGTGTAATTTTGGGTTTGATTGTTCTAAGTATTAGGGAATACTAATTAGAGTGTCAAATCTTAGTTAAGGTCTAGGGTGATCTTATAGTACCAAGGTTGGTACGATTTGAGAGTGTTCTTGTATTCTTTATTAATACAAGTTGGAAATTAAGTTTTCTGTAAAGCTGGTTGCCTTTGTCTCATTTTATATTTTCGTGGCTTTAATTATATTGTCGTCTACTGTTTTATGTTGCTTAAAATGTCCAAGAGTTAGACTCAAAAACGTTGCTGCCTATTTTTCGAGTTAACACCAAAACAGTCCTAAATTTGGCTAAGTGTTGAAAGGCTGAAGTCGACAAGGTTGTTGGCTGCCAAAGCGGGTTACATCAGTGAACTACTTGTGTTCAAAGATCGGCCCCTTTACAGTATATATATTCAAATAGCTAATTAAATTCATATTTTATGTAACTAATTGAAATCATCTTGTTTTATGCTAGCAGTTATCTTTCATAGTTTTTGAATTTTTTTAGAAATTGATTTTGCTAATCAATTTTTAATTTGCACCATCCATATCCAAAGTTGAGTGACTATGATAGGCCGCTTATCTAAGATTAAGTGATCATTCATATGGTTTGAGTCACTTCTTTGATGACATAGTGTATACACACATTTATCTCTATATTTTTATTTTTGCAATTTGGTTTGAGCATGAAAGTTCTTAATTGATTAATATTTTACCTCATACAACAAAGTAGATTTAACTATCAGTATTATGTATAGTTACTTACCTTTAAGGTTAGTGGTACTTATTTATCACATAAGACTCTGGAGGCACGATTTTCATCAATACGACGTGTGACTTCATCGTCAATCACTTCATTTTCTTAGATCAAACTAAAGATATTTAAAACTTTTTTTTCTCTTTGGAATAATTTGTGAATTATTAAGTTTCACCTTATGTGTGTATCACTGAAATTGTAATATTATGCTATTGTCCAACTCAATAACTTGAATCCTTTAGACTCTAGAATTTGTCTCCACCCATCCAACTATGAGTCCCATTAACTAGTATTATGTCACTGACAAGCAACATACATCATGATCTTTCATATTGAACATGTTGTGTCAATTCATCCACAAGACAAATAAAAATGGGTTAAGCACTGATCACTGGTGTAATCTCATCTCGACTGAAAAGTGTTCTTAGTCTTCACCCACCTGTCCACAATTCTTATTTGAGTTTGGACTTCATCATACATGTCTTTCATCATAACGTAAGCCTCATCTAGCCTTTACGCATCTTCATAAAATTTCCATGGGATTTTGTTCTAGGTACGTCATTTCTAGGTTAATGAACACTATAGGTAAGTCATCTTTTTCCTTTTTATATTTTCTCATTAGTCTCCTCACAAGATAATAACTTTTGTATTAATATCGTGGCATGAATCTGAATTGATACTAAAAATGGATCGACACTCTTTCTCACCCACATTTTCATCACCTTTTCTCAAAAACATTATTATATATAATCTAATATAAACCGTACTGATTGTGAATAATATTACCAAAGTTCCGATCAATTAACTTCTCAATCAAAATGTTCTATAAAGAAACTTCCAAAAATTACATTATTACTTTAAAACATTCTATTACGAATTAAAAACGTAAAAACAAAAAAAAAAAGCGCGAAAAGGCACTCTGTTATTTTCGGTACGGACGACAATTTTCCGTTAACACATTCTCCGCGAATTCCAAAAATATCCCCACTGTCCCGCTCTTAACAAGCTGGTAAATCACGTAATTATCTCCAACTTTGAGGGGCAAATTCTGTTCCCTCAGTCCTCACACCCTTCTTCTCTTCTTCCATTCCTCTGTTTCCCATACAGCAGAAAAATGTCAGTACGAAATCGAAATTTCTATATAGTACTAAATGATTTCACAAATAGTATTACTGTGAACTGCAAAAAATGAACTGTCAAATGCAAGCGATGAATGTGGATAGCCACTTTTCCGGCGCCGGCGAGGAAGTTCCGGCGGGAAATGAAAAGGCGGTTGGAAATTTTCCGGTTGGGTACGGAGGTCGGGTGGATAGTGTTAAGGTCACGATGCCTCATTACACAGTTTGTAGTGCTTCTGATGTCGTTGCTCTGCAAAATCGAGAGGCTAAGTTTGATCAACTCACTATATCGTTTCGTGGCAAAATTTATGTTTTTGATGGTGTTACTACTCATAAGGTGAGCACTTTTAATTGTGTAATTTGTTAAGTGTATGTATAAGTTGAGGATCAGTATAAAAATGCTTTAAGATTTTTTTTTTTTTTTGATAAACCATGGTGTCCGGGCTAGCTTTTGCACGCCTCAACTAATTCCAAGCTGTCAACCAAGCTATGAAAGATGAGGAAGAAATCACTAGTGTTTTTGTCAGTGTTGAGATTTGATCGTTACACCTCATGATTCTCAATCCACTTGTAATAAGAGTTGTATGTAGCTTAAGTTTATAGATGACACCAGCTAATTTGTAATTGAGGTGCAGTTGGATTGATATTGATTCTTTTATTCCCGGTAATGTTTGAGGATTTTTTTCTATACTTCTTCTTTTTTCCATAGAGATTGAGCTAGTGTTAATGTGTTTGGCGTGCTTAAATGTGTTGAAGCCGGTTTAATTTTGATCATTCAGATTGAAGAGCCAACACATGAGATTAATGATCAGTGTTTATGGCGTATCCTTAAAGTTTGTAGCTTGATTGTCTCGAGGTTCAGGGCTTTTCTTTTCTTTTATGCAATAAAGGAATTATCTTTAGGGGTTTAGTGAGCAGGATGGATATTGATGATTCATATAGACGACTTCAGTTAGTTTGGATTATGTTGTAGTGGTAGTTGTTGAGAGAGGGGCGGTATTGGATGAACAAGAAACTTCTTGATGAGCCTGCAATAGTTATTTAACTAATTATGTCTCTATTGGCTTGTTTCTTAGCTTTACTCTTTAAATGGGAATGGAAAACTGACTATTGCATTTGGCTGGATATTTCTTTAATCTGATTGTGAAGCATTAGGCTAACGAGTAACGATGGTTCAATGTCATAGGTCCATTCGCTTTTTCAACTTTTGGGTGGATATGAGTATTCTCCAGGCACACAAGCTTTAGGTTTGTCGAGTGCAAACCAGAAGGTATCCTTTTCTATGCAAGTTTCTTCTTTTGGTTTGCATCTGCATCCTTGTAATATTTGGTGATTTTTTGCCTTAGGACTATGTGGACCATCCAGTGCACTGTGCAGATCCAAAAAGACTTGAATCCCTCATTAGATTTTATGAAAAGAGGAAAAAGAGATGCTATGAAAAGAAAATCAGATATGGTATCCGCCAAGAAGTTGCGTTCAGGTAAATTGACTGATCTACTACTGCCTAAATGGAACTTCTATCTCCTCTTTTTTTGTTTCAGTAAAAGTAGAATTCTAGCACTCCAATGAACTTATGCACAAGATTGCTCTATGAAATTAATCCCTATCAGGGCTGATCAATTTTTTGCCCGGACACCACTGTTATTAAAAAAAAAAAAAGAGGCTGATCAAACTTTACCAACAAAACCAAAAGTTTTTTGAATATATTGCAATCACATTTACAATTCAAAGCTTTGCATATAGAGTTTACTTGACTTGAACGGGATAAGTTCTTCTGTTGACCTCCATGACTCCATTATCACTAAATTAGTCTCCATGAAACCATAATTACTAATTATATCTCCCTTTTTCTGATAACATATGAGAAATAACTCGTGCTGTATTTCTCATTCAGTTTCCTGTAACACACAACTATTTGATTATTACCTGAATCTGATGTTTGGAAACTTCTTCATTCCAGACCTTTTTCTCTTATGATTTTAAGTTAGGAAATAAAGTAACCAAGAAGATAGTTTGCTTGATTCAATTAAGTGGGGATGTCCATCTTAAAGATTTGAACTGGCTATTTAATATGCTGGGAAAAACTCACTGATTTACTTCTGTAGGTAAAAGAAGTGTGTTGATTGTGTAGATGTACTATCTTTTATAATAGATTAATAGTCATATGGCAGCCTGCAACAACGCTGGATTCGTTAAAAATAATTGCTTTAGAAAGTTGACTCTGACAAGTAACACTCCTGATGAGTATGACATTTCATTCATTACATGTGTGTTTAGTATAAAAATGGTGTGCAAGAATTTCATTGTTCTAAGAAATGAAATGCTGCAATACGATGCAAAACATTTCCTAAATGACAATAGCTCTTGCAGTACACACACATATCTGCCACCTTCCACAGTTTCTTGTTCTTGTTTAAGCAGGTTGTGGAATGTCATCAAAAAATGCATGGAAGATTTAACAGCTGTTCTTCTATTCCAGTTTTTGATTTCTTCTGCTTATTATTCACATTTATAAATAATCAGAATGAAGCGTAAGAATGGCCTATTTGCTCGAAAAGGTTCGACTGGACCAAAACAGGACAACATCCCTTCAGAAGAAACTCGGTATGTTTTTGAATATGAGCAATAGTTCTGCTTTTTATCTTGAAGAATAATCTCTTCTAAAAACTTAGTCGATGTGTATTGTTTGGTTTGTGTTCAAAACTACTTTTGTATGCAAGAAATATTTTGTTGATGTTGGATGCCTAAGCAATGTTAATTCTAACTCTCTATCTCGTTTCCTAGGTGCATCCATTGTGGAACTAGTTCAAAGGCCACCCCTATGATGAGGCGTGGTCCTGATGGCCAAAGGAATCTTTGCAATGCATGTGGCCTCACTTGGGCAAATAAGGTTGGCATGTACATCATCAAAACACTCATAGGATTACTCCTTCATTTAGATGTTCTTTTCTTTTTAATATATTTTTACCTTTATACATCTGAACAACCATATATCATGTTAACTTACTTGCATTTTGGTCTATTTGGAAAGAATGGTGTCCATATATTGTAGGACTAGGACCTACAAAGTGCTCGTCTTCCAATACCAAGTCTGAAAGCCTAATCAATCAAATACTGCAATGCATGCATATGTAAATTATCGTTACAAATTACCATAGAATGTTTGCTTTGCCCGCCTTTCCTATGTTTGATAAATGGCTCCTCTAGCATTTTTTGTAACAATTTCTTGTTAGGCAGAAAAAACTCGCAAACTATTGATTCCTTACTTCTTGTTATATCACTCTGCAGGGGATAATGAGGACTCTCTATAAGGCATCCTATGACAATACTGAGCTCGAACTAGAGGTAATTGGTTTATTTTATTGCTGAATAGCAATCCTATGTTGGTGTAAGAATTGAATCTTTCTAAAGCTGTTTTGCACGGCCTACTTCTTAATCCATGTAGGATGAAGATTGCAACAACACCGACTATGGAGCTCCTCCATGTTCCGTCTCTTATCAAGTTTCTTCATCAGTCTGCCAGTGATTCCTCGACTAAGACTTTGATGCCTTAGAAAGAAAGCCATACTATATCAACATATCTTCTTCTCATCCAACTGAAAGATTATATATACGTACTACAGGTACATTTCATCACTAAAACTTTCTCAACAACTTGATGACACGATTGAGAACTATCACAAATTTTGTTCTTTTCTTTTGAAATTTATATTGACAGATTAACAACTTAGCTAAAATTTGTTGGTTAAAGCAAAGGATCTCTCTCATGCACTTGTATTTACCGGTGTTACTTGAAGTTCAATAGGAATTTGCAGTTTCTCGCATCAAGACCTGATATATTAAACAGTCTTTTAAATTTATATTGGATCTTGTTACCTATCTAGAATTTAGATTAAGCTTCTTACTGATGTATATCGAACTTTGTCTCTTTGGATAATCATAATCTTATTCTGAAGAATGATCATATGATCTATACTTCCACATGTGATGACTGATGTATATTTTATTTTTCATATTCCCTCCGAGGGGAGCCTTGAAACAACAGTAAAATTGTCTCCGTGTGGCATATAGGTGATAGGTCATTAGTCCATTTGATGCTTGCATTAGGTTGACTACATCACGCCCCTATGGGTGCAGCTCTTCCTCGAACCTCGCATGAAAATGGGATGATTCTTATTTGTTTTTCTGTTTCAGCTTAGAAATGCTAGACAATGTATTTAATCAAAATCAATATGTTTAGGCATATTAGTAGAATTAAGTTGGATGTAGACAGCAGGGAGATATTGGAAATGGTACAGTATGTTTATTTTATTTTCAACAATATGGGGTTTGCATTCTCTTTGGCCATTATACCCTCTAGAAAAAAGTAGAGAAGTAAAAAACACATTATCATTATATGCAAACACAACAAATTAATTAATCAGAGTTATTTTAAGTGAAAGATCATTATTTATGACATGTTTCATTAATCAATTAGATTGGTATGAACATGTTAAGTTTATTTTTATCTTTCTACTTTTTTTTACGTGTAGTTTAGTTGGAGAACAACTCACACCTTCGTTCTAATGATAGAGGTGGAGGTTTAAATTCGTGTATATATCCTTTTCAAATCCCCACCCGCCCAACAGTGAAAAAAAAACTATTTACCAGTACATCCACACACAAAAACACACGTGACCTTTAATTATCATTTAAGTAGTCAATTATTATAGTTTAACATAGACTTGGATAACATAGAGTATTAATTTTCCAGAAAAAAATAATCATGAGACCCGACCACTTTCCCCATACCCAATTTAATCAAGTAGCAACTTATGCTTCCAAATCTAATCCAAGATTTTCTCCACGTATAATCCTATAATATATTATCCACTAAAATATAATCCAAGATTTTCTACGGATATAATCCTAAATGGTGGTATTAAGGACATGACACAATTACATCTTATTATTAATATTATTACAGATATAAAGATATGGAAAATAAGTAGTAGGGTCGAATATTAAAATGTAATAACATTGTCTAATTTATTTTTTGGTTTTTCATCGATGTTCGAAACCCACATTGAAGCTCCGACTAATCTAGATGGCGCTCTGCAAGATATTCAGGAGTGACACTTCCAACAGAATTTTCTTCGTATTCAGAACTCGAACCCAAACCTCTAATTAAGAATGATGCAGATCACCACACCACAATCCATATTAATTTTATTACTCATTTATTGTTGTGACTTGTGAGCGTTCTCTTCTTCATTATTTTCCACATATGTCTCCCACTATTTACTTTACATAGTTTAATATTTGCCCAAATAGAGTCTCGTTGAGGAAATTAAGTACCAATGGCAGAAGCTGTAAATTCAACCATTTTCAAGGTGTGTTTTTGTTAAAAGGACTTTTGTCTCCTTCACACTTTCCTCGTCATCCTTGTTATCACCATTCTCCGTCTCTCCTAAAGATCAAACAAAACTCTCTGTATCTGAATTTGATCATGAAATTCGAAGGAGAAATCCATCACGATTCAACTTAGGAGTTCAAATTTTGCTAGTAAATGAAGAAATTTGGATATTTTTTTTTATTGTGGATAGTGATTTTTGTTGTAAAATTAGCGTGATTTTGAAGGATTAGGTTAACGATTTCATGGCGTTTATATAGTATATAGGAGTATCATGATGGCAGAGAATCCACGGCCATTGCAGGCGCGTCCGTATGAGGATCACGCGCCGCTGCCGTCGATACGGATGGTGGAGGAGGAAGAGGAGGAGGAGGACGATGATGACGGCGCATATGAGGATGATGGAGGAGAAGAGACTATGGATGAGGCTGAGGATGTAAGCATGAAGGTATTGAATCACCATCAATATGGAGGACAGAGCCAACAGTTGTACGGAGGCGGAGGTGGAGTTGTGGAAGTTTCTAGAACAAGTGAGCTTACTCTTGCTTTTGAAGGTGAAGTCTATGTTTTTCCTGCAGTCACTCCTGATAAGGTAGTTACTATTTTTAGACAGATACTCCTATTTAATTGCTTTTTTCTATTTTCTGTTTTTGGAACTTCCCATCAAATCATAGATTAGGTGCTTTACCTATTTTATTGTGCTTTTAGTGTAAATACAATTGTTATTTAATTATTATCGTATCTTATTGTTAAATCATTGTTACCTAACGACGGAAAGTTTCATTTTAGGTAACAACCGATTTAGTGTGGTAACAATCCTATTTTATCCTTTACTCTACCCTTAATAATAGCTCTACCTCGTACCATATATTCTTGTAGGTTTGTCCTTTAAATTGTTGATGTGTCGTGACATTATGTAACAACGGAAAATAATACAATCTATTCAAACGTTGTATTAATCAAAGTAATACAGTACAATATAATACGATGGATTATGAAATAATAGGTAACAACTATCCAAAGTTCCAAACAAAGTGTTTCGTTTCACCAGTAGATACAATACAATGTTGTGTGCAAATGTAGTGAATTTTGAGTACACTCTTAGCTACTGACATGATGGTAACTCTACATATACCCTTCGGGGTGGCCCAGTGGTTTGGGCTTGGGACTTCCATGTTGGAGGTCTCAAGTTCAAAACCCCTTGCCAACGAAAGCAAGGGGTTCGCCTTCTGGGTTGAGCTTGTCGCACCGGGCTTGCCTAGTGCGGGTTACCTATCCTATGTGGTTTGCAAGCTATTGCATAGGAGCAGAGGTTTTACCTTGTGCGCACCCAAAGGGTGGCAGCTGCGGGTTTCCTTGTCATAAAAAAAATAATGATGGTAACTCTACATATTTTGTGCTCAGCGAATTTTGTGTTGTTGTAGTACTGCTATTTATTGATTAGTTGAAGTATCGGACATTGTTGAAGTGGGAATAAAGAATGATTTGGGACAAATTTTTAATCTGTATGTCTTATTTATTATTTTTCGAATGATTTTGGTGACTGACTAACTTGGACGTACCATGACTAACCCACCAATTAGCCTACTACAGCACATGAGTGCAACTTTTGCTCGAGTGTTGTAGCTGGGAGTCAAACCTTGGATCTTGCATGTCTCAACATCAGCCACCCTCTTCAGGACATATTTTTGTCTTATTTCCTTTAAGAACATATTTTGTCTTTAATTCTCTACTTTAGTCCTCTACATATTTTTCTTGCATATCAAGGGCTTCTTGATGAGGCATCTGAGTTAATTGTTACTTGGTTGTTTTTTGCTCTTTCAATTCTGATTTTCTGCCGCAAGAGTGTTTTTTGTTCGATCCATCTCTTAAAAGCGGCCTACTAGTGAAAAAAATTCATTTCTATTGTAATTCTAATGGAATTTGTGATTCTTTAAGTTTTCCATCCCCCTTATAGTCCGTTGGCCCTTGCCAGTCCAACTATGGAATGACATAATTTATAGAAATGGTGTCTGGCTAACTCTGCACTCTACATCCTAGAATTAATTTGGATATAGTAACTTGGCTGAGAATTTCCTTCTCTGTGCCCGTTTACTAGATATTACTCCAAAAGAAAATTCTTGAGAATATAGCTGGGAATTTTATGTGTCATTGCACCTTCTTTCCTGCTATATAAAGTTAGAAGCAGCTGCTTCCTGTGATTCACCTCTACTCAGCTTCTCAGATTCTGAAGAAAGAATCAGAAATAGCTGAGAAATATTCGGGTTTCACTTTTATAATGGTCCTTCTCATCCAGGAGGCATGTTTAGTGAAATACGATTCCGTCTCCATCTTACATGGTATGGTGTTTTGCTTCTATTGTCTGTCATATAAATCATGGTTCTTTCTCCGTATTTGGACAGAGTTGTTACTGTGTTGTGTCAATCATGTGTTGTTGTAGCATAATGACTGGCAAAGCTGTGGAAATTGACTCTGGCATACTTTTGGTAAAAACAGGTGCAAGCAGTGCTCTTATTATTGGGGGGATGCGACATTCCTACTGCTGTGCCCACTGTTGAACTTCCATTCGACAACAAGGTATTCTATTCAAATTCTATAACTTGCACTACATAGTTTGATGATACTTTTGGATGATCAGTATTATTTTTAGGTTGAGGATTTGCCAAAGCAAGCTAATCTTTCGAAAAGATTTGCCTCCTTGGTGAGGTTCCGAGAGAAGCGAAAGGAGAGATGTTTTGACAAGAAAATTAGATATAGTGTCAGGAAAGAGGTTGCTCAAAGGTAAATGATATGCCTTGTTTCCATTTTTTGGTTTTCTTTGAGACTTTAACCTGGCAATGATATTTGATAATGTGAAATTGTCACTTACAAACAAATGAATAAAAGATGACATTGGTAATATAAATTGCCGTCAGCACGCTTTCTTTGATATTTATTCAACAAACCCTTTCATATCCAAGTGTTAGTACCATGGTATCAATGTCATTTTCTGACCAATTTAACATGATGTTTGTCTGTCCTTAATTTTCGTTCATCTTTGATTTTTTAGGAGTACTTCTTTGATGGAATTCACCTAATAATGTATTTGCAATATGGATTTGGTCGATTTGGTCGATGGTTGTTAGCTTTTTTATAAAAGAAGAAATATGGACTTGGTCGATTTGTTTTGTAAATGTAGAATTTAAAGAATTTATCCCTGGAAGTGTATGTCTAAGTGAAAACCAGAGTCTGATTTCTATTTAAACATGTTTTGAAGGACTGAAACATAACTTCTTTTTATTCGCATCCCAAAAAAATATATATATATTCTGGCAAAATTTAGAGCAACTTATTTTCTAAATTAATTAGAAACATTTTCTGATACAGATATCAATGTTTTGAGTAATGAACTTACTTGGCCACATGTATATTAGGATGCATAGGAAAAATGGTCAATTTGCATCTTTGAAATCAAGTTCTGGATCTTCTAGCTGCGATTCAGCCAAGAGTAGCCTTGAAGGACACGACACACAACATTCTGTAACTGTGTGAGTTTTCATTTTTTCACACTTTAGTGCTTCAGCCTGTAGTATCTGCAACTGCTAAAGACCAATGTTTTTTCCTGCTTGATTTCTTTTGGATTATTAGTCCTGGAAAGTGTCACCATTGTGGTGTGAGTGAAAATTGTACGCCAGCGATGCGTCGTGGGCCGGATGGACCAAGGACACTCTGCAATGCATGTGGACTTAAGTGGGCAAACAAGGTACGCAAGACATCCTTTTCTTTTTCTGTATTTTAATTGTCATGTTCCTGATCTTTTGTTTTTTCACGTGATAGAATTCCTGCATTCTATTCATCTTTCTCCCCCCGCACCCCCTCTCTCTCCCCTACCTCTTCTTGATACTCCACTTTATGATTATCCTCTCATTTCTTTTGGGAGTGAGAGATTTGAATAAACCTGCTTTCACCTATGTTCTGGGTTTGCTCTCTAAAATTGCACCAATCACCAAAATAGAATTGGCTTTGCCAAATCATGTCAGCTGATTTGTTCATTCTATTTCTTTTAACCAATATTTGTGCATTCTATTGGACTTAAATTCTTTCAAGTTTTTAATGGCTCCGTTGTTGGATGTATAGGGAACATTGAGAGATCTAAGCAAGGCAGGAAGGAAAACTTCTGTTGAACCAAACGAACTGGTATGTTTCATCAGCAAGAATGAGAAATATGTTAGTGGCTCTGAAGAACTTAATCCTCTATGCTTTATGTAGTATCCTGTTATTTCTCTGTATACATGCTATTTCTCCTTCACCTAAAAGGGCTTCCTGAAAAATTTCAACTTATCCATTCATCTTAGTGTTCGTGATACATGAGAAGATCAAAGTTTTGCATTGTCCACGGGGTAAGACATCCTTGGATGTCACACGTCCAATTTTGAAGGTGGAATAAATTGCCAGGATGGTCATATATGGAAGCACTTTGTTACAAAATACTCCACCAAATATGAGCTTAATCATCTCTCAGGCATCTTATGTTGCATGCAGGGAACTCCTGACAATCCCGTGAAGGCATTTGCTGAAGGATCCCTTGATCATTGTGCTGATCTGGAAAAGGTATGCGTTGGTTTTGTAAGACTGTATCAATCATTAAATATTTCCTCGTATGTTATATTACACCACACTTTTCAGTAGTAATATCGAAATGGTTCCTCATAAGGTTATATTGTAGTACATTAAAATCTAATTGAAATAACACCAAAATATAATGATTAAAAGACGGGCTGAACGAGAAAGAAAGGACTCACTTCATGAGGTGCAGTCACAAGATATTAACAAGTTTATTTAGTTCTAATTCCGTTGAGCCAAATGCAATAAAAACTGGACACTGTAACAGCGTTATTTTCAGTGTTCTTTTTTTTTTTTTTTTTTTTGAGAAGGTAACATTTTCTTGTGTATATATATAAACTTCATGATATAAAATTTTACCTTATGGAAACTTCACTGTTTTGGTTCAGAATCTATTCAGCTCTGGTAGCAACCTTGAAAATGATATTCCTGTGGGTATCTTTAGTTCTTCGAGCAATCTTGTTGAGCAGGTGAGAGTAGTTCATGATTTTTTTTTCACTATTGAAATTCGCCTTAATAAATTTATTCATGAGAGACTATTTGGATCCGTTTAGTATCTGTAAAATGCATTTTTGTCACTAAAAAATTGGGTCTGCAGGAAACTCTAGTTGATTTTGGAAATGCTTCCAAAACTGAGGTCGTCATTCCTGCAAACTTTGACTAGTAAGTTTTGATTCTTAAAGACATCATTAGTTGAACAGAGTCTGTCTTGCTAACATTTTAAACCATGCACAGGTTGACTGCCTGTAAATTGTTGTTGTAACATACCCATTTCCTTTCTGGAGAGACGCTACTATTTCAAACTGACCCTGTTAAATTTGGAATGGTTGCCGTTGATGTGTAAAATTTGATGACTGTAAAAATGAGCAAGTAAAGATTATTGGTGCCTAACCAATACATACGAAGTGTGATTCATTGTGTCCTGTACATCGTAAGCTAGTTGGAATTCTACACTTTGTGGTTGTATATATATATGTGTGTGTCGTTTGACTGTGTATATTGTAACAGCTTGCTAATACTGATAATGTCTTTGGGTTTCCGACTTCTGTGTGGATGAGCATGATTTTAACCCAGGTCTGTTATACCCATTTAATCTGCCTGATACAAAAACGGGTCTACTTATTTGTGTAAACATAGAAAGCGTCTAACCAAATATTTACAATAAATGCTGAATTTCGTAAAAATATCAATTAACTAGACATTGAATTGCTAATGTCGAATTTTATGCACACAGTCCGAAGCCTAAAGGGCACTTTTTTAAAGCGAAAAGACCTAAAGGGGTTACCAAAACTTTGGTTGTTTGAGGTAGGATGTGTGACTGCCAAATTCTCTGACGGACTACTGCGGTTGTTTGCTCATTTTATTCTGTTAGGGATTCGCAGTTGCTATTACAAACTAGTAACAAAAATGTGGGATTTTTGTTAAGCAAAGATTTCTGTATGTTAATTGATAATAGAAAGAACTTTTAAAATGATCTAACAGAGAACATTTGCACTGCAAAATTTTCCAAACAGAATTAATCTATTTAATATAGTCGCATCAAACTAATAGATGTTTCATTTTGTTGTTGCAGCAAGGTGACAACACAAATTCTGAATTTTATTTTTTGTCAGACTCAGTTAAAAAAGAAAAAAAAATTATGCAGTGCAGGGTGGGGCATGGCGCATTAAAAACACAATTTTTTGCTATGTGGGGTGGGTCCAATCTTTGCGGGTTTATCCTGCAACCACCCTGTCCCATTACCGTCCCTATATATAAGATCATGTTTGGATTGACTTAAAAGTTGATCAAATCTACTTTTAAGTCAATTTTTTATTTCTGAAAGTATTTGACAAGTATAAAAAATAATTTAAAATAAGTTAAAAATGACTAAAAATAAGTTACGAAGTGCTTGGCAAGATAAAAAATAACTTAAAATAAGTTATGAAATGTTTGGCAAGATCTCCCCCTACTTTTTATTTTTTGACTTGAAAGTCATTTTAGTTTAACTTTTTATTTTTAACTTAAAAGTTACTTTTTTTAAGTCAATCCAAACGAGCTCTAAGTTAACAAGCACTTACACTCTCCTTTATAAACATTTGGAAAAGAATAAAATACTTTTATTATAGTAAGAGTGATATCTTCTAGCGGTAAATTGTAATATTTCTCTCGACACTTCTAATTTTGAAAATAAGCATCAGTGTCGAGTCACTTAGGTTTAAAGGAACTCTCGCAGTTTTTGTATAAATATGTGCGTTCATTCACTCTTAACTTTCAGGTACCATCATCATGCCTCTTTTAAGTCAAAATTATCCAATAAAAATATGGACTCGGTTCCTCTTCTTTTTTTTAAAAATAAAATATCTTGTCAACCTTGTACTAAACTAATTGTAAACCTGGATGATCTGAAGATCGTTATAAGCTTATGTTATTAGTGCATACATGGCATGGGGACTGGAATTCTGCCGAGACTAAATTGACGATTGCATTAAGAACCCCCAAGGACTTCTTTTTGCACGGATATTGGCCAGCTGATGACAAAGGAATTTCAGTAACATCATGTTTCACGGAAGACAATTCTCGTTATAAAATGGTGAGCCCATCTTTGTATCCCCAACTTCACCACCTGCTGGAAAAGAATAACTATACAATCTCACAGAACAAAAGAACCCAAGTGAACAAAACTGACAGCAATATTTTCTTTCGACTGTAGAATTGTGACCTTTTGATCACCAGACTGTTCATGCCAAGGGCAAACTGATGGAAACTCAACAGTAGAAGAATATCAGCCCACAGAATTACAAAGCAAACAAAAATATATATTATCGTAACTGTAATATATAACAAAAAGAAAATTATCTAGAGGTAGACATACAGATAAAGAAACGATTATAACAGATAGAGCATAGAGCTAGAAAAAAACAGAAACTGGTGGTAAAGGCATAGGCATTCATTTTTTTCTCTTCACTTGACAGTGCAAAATTACAATTGACAAGTGCCCTTTTTGAACAATGAAGATAGTAATGTCAAAATTACATTGCAGGAAAATGGATCTAAACATGGTAACCTTACATCAAGAAACTACCTCAATCACATGATTTTGCACAGACCAAATTCTTACTATTGTTTTGCCATATTCAGAGGCAATGAATCTTAAAAGCTGTAACTACAATGTACGATCCAATTCTCTCTAACATCAAAGTGGTGTTTAACATGTTTTATGTTAAACATAACTGATAGCTTGTATTAACATAATTTTCTTTTGACTCCATATGAAGAACTTGAATCAGTACATCAGAAGTCAATAAATAATAGAAGCAAACACAGGCAGAGTAGAAATAATGCAATATTTCTTTGCTTTGGTAATGAGACTGAAGAGTTGGGACTTTCATTTCCATTTTAGCTCCTCTGTTACAATGCATAATTTTTTTTCAGGGAACACATTCTAATTCTATTCTGTGTCTACTGTACATGTAGTAGAAACTATAAACCTTTTCTCTCTCGCTAAAGACAGGTATATAGTTACAAAAATTATGGACTCTTACAAGTCCTAATGTCGTTTGTGTTGGGTAATACAATAAATACAAGGTTAAAGAAGAAAAGAATTGACTGCAACAAAAGGGACTCACCTTTGCTCTGTTTCCAGGATAAGTCCAGAGCTCTAAGAAGGCAATGAAATGTTATTAATTGTAGACTTCTTTCCGCATGTTCTCGCAATTCTTGCCTAAGGATTTTGGAAGAGCACCTCACACTGTCAAAGTAGGAGAGAAGGATATCACCAAATCCTAATCAATTGAAATTGCTATCATAGCGGACTGTTAAAATAACCAAGAATTGCTCCAGTCCACTTTGGATCCCATAACACACGTCATTTCAATGTCTTCAAGCTCATCTACTCGTGGAAATCCTCATAAGGTGGGGATTCACTTGACGAATCACTTTCAAATGGGGTGGTCTCTCTTGGCGATGAAGGAAGTGATTCTCTTTGTTGAGAAGATAAACCTGGAAAGGTCTTGTGTCAGTAACAATCTTTTAATAGATGACGAGATTCAGATTGGAAATCAAAAATATACTTCGAAGTGTATTTTAAAAAGTAACGGACCACACTGTCAGCCCGAATTAGGGAATGTAATATCAACTGTGACTAAGCAATTAGCAACCTATACATCATAAAATTGTGTATTGAACAAACTATTATGCTGGATTCTGCTGGCTCAAGAGAGAGGGAAGAATGGCATCCGACATTAGGTCTTCTCAAGAGGAAAATAATAGGACTCCAAAAGAGCGAACAGGATACTTTCAACATCGAAAAAGCTTCACCAACCTTTTGGTCCTCTTGAACGGAACTTCTTTGTATGCCGTCTAATCAGCTTCTTGGCTTTTGTTATGGTTAGTTGTCTAGCAAATGGAGAGAACTCTCCCTCATTTTCACTCCAGTCACCAGTAATCTCATTTTCTGCTTCACCCCTCATTGTCCGAAGCACGAAAGCCTTGGCCTTCCGACGCTGTGAATTGAAAAGGCCTTTAATAGAGGTGACAAAACCATCACCTGCACCCTCAGCGGGACGCTTAGGCCAGGATAAAGGATTTTGCTCTGATTTTTCAGCTGAACCACCATCACTATCACTGAGATTAAGATCAATATCAGGAACGCCAGGAACACAAGTTTCCTTTTGATTATGTGCTTTATCTTTAAACTTCTTTCCCTGCATTAGTATAAGAGGACAAGGTTACTGAAGTATTGGATTCTTGTAAGGTAACCTAAGAATACATATACTTAGTACATCAATGGAAAGTATACTTAATGTGGTGAAATATCGAATAATTACAGATCATGAAACTTGGATGAAGATAATTTCAAAAGAATTAACCTGCATTCCCGTTACTGATTTTAGGACTCCCCAGATGATGTGCTTCTTAACTCTTGAGAATAGCCTCCGCCAGGTTCCCGTAAATTCAACACGATGGAATGTATCCATCAGCAATCTTAATTCACTCACAGCAAATCTTGATCCTTCATATGTAACAAGTAACTCAACCTAGCCCATGCATATTGAACATGAATTAGTTCCGAAACAGAAAAAACTGACGAAACTACAATTAGTTATTAGCCCACATAATGGACTAACCTGACTAATCTTGATATTGTGAAACTCTCTCATTCTACGAGGCCTAGATTTTTTCTCATCCTGCGTCTTGCCCACCTTTTTCTCTTCATGAGAGGAGCGGCCAGATTTGATTAGTTTTGATTCTTTGGATTTGTTTCTGTTACCTTCATCTGGCTGATCAATACCAGCAAAGGGCCCACTTGTTGAAGAAGTAGCACTTGATGAGTGCATCTGCAGCATAAGTTCATCAGCAACAGATTCAGCTACCTTTTCTTCCCATGTTCTATCAAAGGATGATGTTCGTCTTAGCTCAGGGGTTGAACCACAAACAATATTAGCTTTTAAGTTCTGCAACTTTGACACCTGCAATGTTCAGGCAAGTGAAATTCATGCTTATTAAGAAGAAATATGTGAGAATGATGGTATGAAGAAAATCAGATTAAGCATAAATACTGAAGAATTTGCCGATCAGTAAGGTAAACTTTACACCGAAGGAAAAGCCACTCTTCACCTATCTAGCTAAGAAGCAACCCACAATCAACCAAGGATCAGGGACTCACTTGGGAGGAATCAGCAGAAGAGGATAACTGATTTGTCGATGTAACTGGTAATGCAGAATTGCTTGATTTGGTGGAGACCTGAGGATCTTTTGTTAGATGGCTACTTGATATTGGTGGTTCCTGTATTGATGAGCCTTTCCGTGCACGCCTTGAACCAGCAGTAGTGGAAAACTTCCAAACTTCCTGTAAGCACAAAAACATTTAGCAACAATATCTTGTAAATTCGTTAATCTTCACCTGAGGAAAAACTTATCAGCAATGTATTTCTGATACATGGACATTACACACACCTGCCTGCGCTGGGAGTCTTGTTCTTCTTCTGGAAAAAAGTACTCCCACATCATTCTATA